GTTAAGCATCAGTTGTTTCAGGAGTTCGAGATGAAAGATTTGGGGTCTCTTCGATATTTTCTTGGTATTGAGGTTGCTACTTCTCCTACTGGGTATCTGCCTGTCTCCTCTATTGGTTCTATTTTCTCTTCCCATTTGTCTCTTTCTCCTGTATTTTATGTACCTCACCTCTCACTTAGTCTTATTTCTATTAGTCAATTATCTGATTCCGGTTTTGATGTTGTTTTCTCTTCCTCTCATTGTGTTGTGCAGGATCGGGTCTCCAAGAGGCAGATTGGGATCAGGCGTAGAGTTGGAGAACTATATATCTTGGACAGCTTACATGTTCCTTTAGATGTGTCTTCTACTGCATTGTCTTCTTTTTGTTTAAACAATAAGTCCTCTTTATTTTATATTTGGCATTCTAGGTTAGGTCATTTGTCGAGTGATCGTTTGAGGATGTTAGTTCAGTCTGGACATTTAGGCCATTTTCCCATTGCTGATATTTCAGAGTGTCGTGGTTGTAAACTGGCTAAAATGTCTGCTCTTCCATTTAATAAAAGTAGTTCTATTTTGTCTTCTCCTTTTCAATTGGTTCATACTGATGTTTGGGGTCCTTCCCCTATAGTTACTAAGGGCGGTTCGCAATATTATGTATCTTTTGTGGATGATTACAGTCGGTTTACATGGGTTTATTTGATGACACGAAAATCTGATTTTTACAAAATATATTCCAATTTTCACTCCATGATTTGCACTCAATTTTCCACCACCATTAAAGTTCTTCGTTCTGATTTGGGGGGTGAGTATTACTTGTCTGAGTTTGAGGAGTTTTTAGCTACTCATGGTACTATTCATCAGTCTTTTTGTTTAGACACTCCTGCCCAAAATGGTCGTGCTGAGCGCAAACATCGCCATCTCCTTGATACAGCTCATTCTTTGCTACTCTCATCCTTTGTCCCTTCTGTCTTTTGGGGAGAAGCTGTGCTCACTGCTGCATATCTTCTCAATCGGATGCCTACTCCTCTTCTTTCCGACTCCTCTCCGTATGAGCGTCTTCTTGGTGTTACTCCCAATTATTCTCTTCTTCGTGTTTTCGGTTCTACATGCTTTGTGCTCCTTCCTAAACGGGCGCGCTCTAAGCTTAGTCCTCGTTGTGTCCTATGTGTCTTTTTAGGGTATGGCATTAATCAGAAAGGTTATCGGTGCTATGATCTTGCCACCAAAAAGCTTTATGTGTCTCGGCATGTCACTTTTTTGGAAAAACTACCCTACTACACTATACCTTCCACCCCTGTCCCTATTACCAAGGAGGAATTGGTTCACATTGATCCATTTCCTTCTGATGTTTCTTCTGATGAGTTTGTCTCTGATCTTATTAGTTATTTAGGGTAGTTTAGTCTATTAGATTATTAGGGTTTATTTTATTTAGGTTATATATATTGTACTCAATGATTATTCAATAAGATATACAAAATAGATGTTCTTTGTTATCAGACACATGGCAATAAAGTCAAAGTAAAAGTCTTTCATTTGATCAAATGAAAGAATTGTTTAAGTCCATGAATTGTTGAAAATAGTCATAAAGTAGTTATCAAACATTTGTTGGCTTAGTGGGCTGATTTGTGTGAAGTCAAGATTGTGAATTGGAGCTCTATTTTATGTCGATATAGTGCTCTGAATTTTGGGGGATATGCGAGAGATTTGAAGAATTGATAAAGTTCGAAGGCTTGGAAATGAGATAATAGTTACAGCAGCGGTTGGGGGGGATAAAATGAATTTCAGAATTTTAAGTTGTTTAGTTTTCTTAAAGCACTGAGTTAAATACGAGTTTCATGTCATGACTCTTGTTATTTTTCTCGCATCGTTTAGCAACCTTTTAGAGTTTTTCACTTTTGTATGTAGTTGCTTTTAAATTGGATTTCAGTCATAGAAGACTGGGCGTTGCCAAGTGTTTAACTTTGAAATGCAATCTTACAAGTTACAACTGAAACCATTCCCCTTGTTACATTCTTAATCATTTTGAGTAATAGAAATGCTGGCTACTAGATAGAGAATTCACATTGAAAATAATGTTATATGTTAATCTTTGAGCATTGCTTTTACTCGTTGCTATTGTAGTCTATTCTATTTTTTTTGCATCTTCAATGGCGATTGGGGGATGTTCTATAGACTTGGGAATTTTGTGATTAATTGTAGTATGAAAATGGTGATATGGAGAGTATTGATTGAAAAGGTCGCTCGTATTTATTTTTTTGTGAAATTTTACTGGTGCAAGTGTTGCCATGAATAGGAACATATTAGATATTTTAAAAATTCAAGTTGTTGAGTTGATGCCACATTGTTTGATAAGCAAAAATATTGGCTTAGCAAATTCATGTTTGAGTTTGGTATGTGTATCATTAAAAATATTAGTTACTCCATGAAGGAGATAAAAGGATTTGTGTAGTTTTATTGGCTGGCCACAAGCTCACACATCCAATGAAGATATTAATCTCCACATTTAAGAGTATTTTTGGTATCCTGCAACCCAAAACCCTGGTGGCAATAATTAGGGAGCTTGGGTAGTAGGTCGTGTGGTTTAGGGACCAGTGAAGAAGTAAATGTCACACATGAGACCATAGGATATACATGCCTAAGGTTATATAGTTATGTTTTATGATTTGGCTTTGAAAAGGTGAAAGAAAGGTTCTAGACTTTGAAGCGTTTGAAAGAGCTAGAACAGATTTGGATTTAAAGGGGTGATAGGCTGTTAAAATTTTATAATTGTGGCAAGAATTTTTTAAACAAAATTTTGGGATCCCAGTTTGTGTTCTGGTGGATGATGACTGGAATGACACGAGTTAATGCCTTCTGTCACTTGTGGGGGTCCGATTATGGTTAGCATTTGGATTTTGTCACGTTTTTCATGTGGCTTTGTTCTAGGAATCTTCATTAAATACTTTATGACAAAAAATAATTTTTTGAAGTTGAAGTGGTGGAAATGAGCATAGGTTTGGTTGTCTCCACTATGTTTTTTAAATACTAAATAATTAGTTGGTGTTACTTTAATGCTATCAATATTTAAATGTTGGTCTAGCTTGTTTGAAAGGTGGTTGATAAAATAATTGTCATCCTTGAAGGGTGGATGATAAAAAAAAAATTCAGCTCAAATTTGTTGTTAATTGGAGCATAGCCCGAGTTCAATTTATTGAGCTCAAGGCTGCTTTGGACACACAAAATTAGGTTAGAGGTCGGGCTTGGGGGCCTCAGGCAACTCTCAAAACAACTTGGATAACTCTTCAATCTTACTGCACCCGCTCACATTGCACCTTTAGTTACAAATTGCAA